GAAGCTTCACCCCTGAGAGCTCTTGAATCCATGGGGTCCTTGGTCTCAGGACAGTACAAACACATTGGGGCTGCCTGGGAGCTCTGGGAGCTCCAAGTCTGCCAGGCAAACTGGCAGGGAACCAGCCAGGAGATGGAAACCTGCCTGTTTCATCAGAAGTTCATGGAAACAGAAAGCTTTGTGTGAAACATTTTGGTTTTGAGAAATCAGCATTTTCCAGTGACAACCTGCTTTGTTGGACAGTTGTCAACCTGTTCTGCTTTTGATGCCCTGTCTGCATCTAGCCACAGAAGGTAAAACTATTTCATGTTTTTAAAAATACCCAGTTCAGTGTTGGGTTTCAGGTGATTTATGATTCTGTGTAGATCTTCCTAGATGAAATTATGTGATGCATAGTGCAGCTAGGCTCTCTGTTGCAGAAACATTAGAGGTAACTGATATAGTAGGAGATGCTAGCAGCTCAGGGATAGACTTCTGCACCCACATTAGAGAGAGGGAGGCCAGCTTTCAGCCTTACTTCTTGATGACTTCTGGTGTTGGAATCCTGGCACCAGGCCCATCTTGTTCCTTGGATAGGCATGCCTGAGATTTCCAGGCAGCACAACTGTTCTGCAGCCAGTGAAGGGGTGAGCTCTCCGTGTCTCAGGAATGCTCTCTATTGGCTAGTACAGTAGCAGAGTTGGCAAGCTCCAAATAGTCTTGTCCAGTTTCCTTCAGACAGAGCATATGGCCACAATGTCGGGTGATAAATTATGGCAATGTTGTTAGGCTCCTAAGATAGCCAAGGAGACAGCATAATTTCAGCATCATTGGGTTTCTCTTTGAAATTTCAGTTTGGGTGTGTTGCAGTTTTTTGTTTTTAAATGAATTGTGAAGGATAATAGTGATCATATAGCCAGAACAATCAGAAGACAATTGCCTGAAATAATTCTTTTAACAAGATTCTGGTTTATTAGGACAATCTTAAATACTGAACTTAGAGTCAGGTTCTAAAAAGAGCTCTACTTCCATTGTAAGGCACTGAAGTTAGGGGCTAGATATTCAGAAAAAGCCAGCACACTGGTTACTGTCTTTGAAGATCTGCCAGGGAAAATGCTGGCCCTAATGAGCTATTTTGCAAATCTGGCATGGTGTAAATAAGTCATTTTGATATTACGGTAGTGTCAGAGTGGTGTTGTAGCCATGACAATCCAGATTTGTGTGTGAGAGACAAGGACTTATTAGGGTAATATATTTTATTGAACTGACTATGCAGTTAAGACAGCGTTAGACTAGCTTTTGAATGGAAGACCTGAGGAAGAATATCTTGCATTCAAAAGCTTATCTAACTCTATCCAACTACATAGTTGGTCCAATAAAATATAATCACCATAAGAAATCCTTACGTCTCACCTTATGATATTACGGAATTCATTGCTTAAAAAAAAAATTATTAACCAAACTTAGCAGAGAATTTGAATCAATTGTGGTAGAAGGATACAAATCCTCTCTCAACTCCAGGGTTATTGCAGCAGCAGCTAATTTAGATACTGGTGTAGTGATCCCAGTGGTTAGAAGGTTTTATTCAAAGATGTATGATGATGCATGGTACCTGAAACTTCCTCTCTGCTTGGAGACCCTTTATACAGGCAGAGCAGATCTAAATGTAAGAGTCTGAGGAGGTGCAAGTTCATGGATTGGGCCCATGCTTCAGTACCCACATTCAGTTGAAAGAACTGAAGGATGCTCTGGTCCAGCAAACATCCTTGGCCCCTGTCAAAGGAGCAGATCTGAGCTGGCATGCATCTAATACAATGTGATTTTTTTTAAATAGAGAGCAGTTTTTAGGGTCCAATTTGTACCATCTGACTTGGGCAGAACTCCCACAAAAAATACAATTTAAAGTGTTATTACTGACCTACTTCAGAAATAGGGCTCTATGGTCCTACCTATGCTGGGCTGCAGAGGAGAAGAGATGAGGCAAAAGACACCTAAAAAAAAAAAAGGCAGAAATGGTAGGGGTGGCTCTGCAGCTTGCTTCCCCTTCCCAGGTTAGCAGTGGTTCCTTCAAGGCTAAGTTGTGAAGTCAGCACTCAGTGGCTCAAGGATGCAGAGGGATGTCAAGTTGGGTGGAAGGAAATGGGGGAAATACTGCTGGTGCTTTGCACTATCATCAGGGTGGAGGTTTTAGGCTCAGTGAGAAGCCAATGGCCTCATGGCTCCTTTAAGCAGGAGTACCTAGGACAAAATTGCTAACTAGAGCTAAGGTGGTTTACTTCTGCAAAGCCTCTTTCCATTTGAAGGAACAGCAGTTTATTTTTCCAGTTTACCACCCAAAGGATTATTGTCCCATTCTATGGAGCTCCAGTTTACACAGACAACACTTCAGTGAATCCAGAATAACTTCAGAATGACACTAGGGCACTCACAGTGAAGTGCGAGTGAAAGCAAAACCTAGCCCAGTACGTGCAATCTCTAGTCAATAATCATCCCTATAAGCACTTAGCAGAAGAAAAAAAATCTGAGCACTTTGCAAATTTTAGACCCTACTCCACCTTAGAATGTGTCATGTGAGATTTAGAAGATTTCAAATGTCGCCAGAACCACGAGGTTCTCTTGGCAGCCCTGACAGAAAGTATTGTTACATTACAGGCCAGTGTAAAGTGTAGGCAGTTCATGTTACTGTGTACGTGGAGATGTAGGCTTGAATGAAATATATCTGACCAAATGATTGGCCTCAGGCTGCCTGAGCCTCCTGTACTTTTCACGAGTCAGCACTGTACTGCCCCTGGGAAGTACAGTGTAAAGTGTCACAGATCACGATCCCTAAATCTCTCCTCTTCATGGAACACACTTGAACTGTGGCACTTCCCCATAATAGAAGTGAGGCCTCCAAAATTAAAACAAATTTACCTATATTTTAGAACTAATACTTAAATGCGTGACTCTCAGGCAGGGTGTTATGGCACCCTGGGGTGCCTTGAGAGGCTTTCGAGGGTGCTGCAGTGCCATGTAATGTTAATCACTGTCACAGAGTGGGGCCTAGGAGCAGCCGTGATCTCTCTAGCGCCCCCTACCATGCCAAGTAGATGATCCAGCACCCTCTTTCTCGTCTGCCACGTCTTGTTGTTATACAAATTTATAAGGGAGGCTGCCTTTTGTCCCCTCGGACACGGTGCTATTTTTGTCCTGGCCTCTACTCTGTAAGGAGTGTCCTGGTGCACCCCCAGCCTTATGGGCTACGCATGCCTCCAACCTCCCCTTTAGCATGTCCGGTAGATCTGCGGGGCTTGGGGCATTATCCCACCAACCTGTTCTCCCGTACGTGCCCTCTCCGGGGCTTCTCTCCACACGTGCCCCCTCCGGGGGGCTTCTCCCACACAGACAGTGCCCCACTGGGGCCAGTCTCTCCGCGCTCATGCGCCCCTTGCCCTCACCGGGCTTCTCACTGGGCTTGCTCCCCTCTGGAGCTTCTCCATGGGCTTGCCCCTCTTCCGGGGCTTCTCCCTTACAGGCAGTGCCCCACTGGGTCCTGCCCCCCCATACATCCCGCGGTCACCCACACTCAGGCCTGTGCCTCGCGCTTCCCGTGGTCCTACATGCACTCGGGCCCCATCTCCCACGCTTCCCACGGCTGGGGCTCAGGTGGCTGTAGCCGTGCCTGGCCCCTCTGACCCTCAGTCAGAGTCTCCCGCCCTGCTCGGGCTTCTCCGAGCATCGCCCACACAGGGCTGGGGTCAACACACCCCTAACACAGCACCACCCCAGCGCTAAACAGCTGTGCCTTCCCTGGCACCGCTCGCTGTGCCCTTACAGGGCACCAGGAACACCCTCCACTACTGGGGAGTTCCCCTGAGGCCTCCTTCAACCCCTACAGCCTCTCCCGGTCCTCCAGCGTAACAATAACAAATCAGGGAACACAAAGCCATGAGTCAACCAGCTATAACTCAATATAAACCCCCTGGCTAGAACATAAATGCCGGGCTACCATGGCTCACCTTCCAAACCTCCCTGTCAGGGTTCTCTCTCCCCATACCTTGCTGCAGCCACTCGGGCGGTCAGGCTACTCTACAGCAGAGCTGCTGCTCCTTAGGCTGCCAGAGGGGGACTAACTACCTAGGCTTCAGCCTGGGCTGTTTATAAAGGCCTGGCCCTGCCCCCTTCTGGTCACCTGACCAGTGCAATTGCCCCAGCAACCAGCACCTGTGCTGCCCTGAAGATTGGCAGCTGCCCTTATCCCTTCATAGGAACAGGGCACCTGAGTGCCCCTGTGACATACCTCCCTGCTTAGGTTCATAACTCACCGGGGCTGTTCTTCCATTTCGCGAGATGCAATTCCCCACCAGGGTTCTTTTCTTGGCTTTTCTTCCAGCATTCATCAGCGCATACACTGGAGGCGGAGGTTTTCAGGTGCCTCCAACTTGCCTTTTCCCCAAGGCGCACCGTGTGGGATTTCTTGGGATTTACCCGCCACAGGTAGTCCCCCCACATTAGCTAACCTTGGTAGATTGCCTATTGCACTGGCTGAATTTCTGTCTATTCTCCAAAGTCTCCGTCCTTTCTCCCCAGTAACTTGTTGGGTTCGAGATCTCGTCCCCTCATCCTGGATATCTTGGAGCTTGCCCCAGATCTCCCACTGGCAACTCAGTGCCCTTTGGGCATCTTCCTCACTCCAGAATTCTGCTCTCCCCTGGCCAGTGGATCTCCCTTCAGGTCCCTCATAAATTTCTACGTAGGCCACCCTTCCAATTTTGGCCTCGAGGATCCTCCTCAGTGTCCTCCACCTGAGGTTTCTGGGTAGGCCATTCATATATAGCTGCGGTTTCTTTTCCGTCTCAATTCTTCCCTTAACTGATTGCTCCGTCCGCCTTCCCCCCAGACCCTCAGCTCTATCTGCTCTCTTGGGCTGGACTGTTCCCCTAGTCGCAGAGCCTATTTCTGTCTTTTGCTGTCTCGGGATTTTTGCTGCCTTTCCTTTATATGTTGGCGCAAGGGTTCCCTCTGAGGGGGACTTCATTTACCTGTCTCTGCTACTTCTCCCTCTGGTAAGGGAGTTGTTTCTGGCATCACCGCCCCACGTACGGCTCTTTCTCCCGTACTCTGCAGTAAGGATAGCTCTCTCACTTGGCACCTTAACTGATTTATTTCTTGGGCATGGTGGTCCCGCCACTGGTCCCATCTGAGGTCCCAATATTCCTGAGCCACTGACAGAGCCTCCCTCTTTAAGGCTTCTAGTTTCTTGACTGTTAAGCCCTCCTCATTAACACCCCTGCCTGACTGTTCTGGTCCTGCTCCTTCTCTAGGGTCTTCAAGGTTCCCAGCAGTGGGACACCCCTCCTTTAGGCCTCGCGCCAGTTTAGGCCAGGCCTCCTCCACATTTGCCTCCACTTGTTTTAGCACCTTTATGAGCATCTCTCTTTCACTCAACTCGACGGCTTTCCCTTCCCTGGCTAATTGCCATTCAAGTTCTTCTAGCTTCTGCCTTAGTGGGTTCATAATCTCTAAGGCCGGCACGTCCCGCTCCGCTAGGGTCATCTCCTTTAGCCCCTCAGCTTCCCTGACCTCTCGAACTTCCAGGGCCAGTTGGGTATTTATCTCTAGCAGCCCCTGTATCTTTTCCTTCAGGGTCTGGCTCTCCCCCTGTAGCTGTTCGTTGGCTGCAGCTAAGCCTGTCTCTCTCTCTCCTGGTCATCTTTTAGGAGAATCTCCCATGACTGAGCCTGTTCCCTCAGGTGTTCATTTTCTGTCTTCAGATTCTGTACTTGAACCCTTAACCCATTGTTCTCTTCCTTGCAGGCTGCTAGCAGTGTCTCGTGGTTTACCATAAAAGCCTTCATCTTCTCCATTTCTCGTGCTATCACCTTACTATTCGCCTCGGTTTGTGTGTGGCTTAGACTGAGCTAGTCTTGCAGCTGATTGAGCAGCTTTTTGGCCCCTAAGCAGCTTTCCTGCCATCTTTCCAGGTCTTCGTTCAGACCTTCTATCTGGTCCACTTGAAGGTGGACTTCTTTTTGCAGCACTGTTATCACACCCTTGGCTACTTCTAGCTTCTGCTGTTCCCCTGCTGGAACTATGCAGGCCTCAGGAGACTGTGCCCTCCAGGCCTCCAACTCCACCTGCATCCTCTGCAGCTTTTCCTCCCTGTCCTGGCTCTTCTTAGCTTCTTGAAGCATCATCCTTTCTAATTTTCTAGTTTTCTCTGCCTCGGCTGCCATGAGGCGTCTGACTTCTTTTGCCGCTCCTTCCCTTTTACCTGGCAACAATTGTCGCTCTAGGGCAGCAGATTTTGCCTCGACACTTTCTTTCTGGGCTTTTGCAAATTCGAGCTCCTGCTCTAGTCGGGCCACCTTCTCTTCCAGCTCTCCCATTCTCAGTTGCCATGCAAGGGTTTCTGGTCCCTGACCTTCCATAACCCCTTCCTGGGCCATGACTACTCTACCCTTATCTTTTTGACTCAGGGACTCAGTCTTGCTCTGGAATTCTGAGCAATGGGTGTCTTTACTCAGCTCTCACTAATGAGTTGTGCTAAGTCTGCCTGCCTGTCCCCGTCTGCCTCTGTCCTAGCCCCTGGGTTCATTTTCCCTTTTCAAGGACACGGGTCCTTTCCCCATGTACGGCCGGCTTCCCGGCCAATGCACCACTTTGTCACAGAGCGGGGCCTAGGAGCAGCTGTGATCTCTCTAGCGCCCCCTACCGTGCCAAGTAGGGGATGCAGCACCCTCTCTCTTGCCTGCCACGTCTTGTTGTTATATAAATTTATAAGGGAGGCTGCCTTTTGTCCCCTCGGACACAGTGCTATGTTTGTCCTGGCCTCTACTCTGTAGAGAGTGTCCTGGTGCACCCCCAGCCTTATGGGCTATGCGAGCCTTCAACCTCCCCTTTAGCACGCACCAAGCCTCGCAGATCTACCAGACGCTATCCCGCCAACTTGTTCTCCCATACGCACCCCCTCCTGGGGGCCAGTCTCTCCGCGCTCATGCACCCCTTGCCCTCACTGGGCTTGCTCCCCCTCCAGGGCTTCTCCATGGGCTTGCTGCTCTTCCGGGGCTTCTCTCTTACAGGCAGTGCCCCACTGGGGCCTGCCTCCCATACATCCTGCAGTCACCCGCGCTCAGGCCTGTGCCTCACGCTTCCCGCGGTCCTACATGCACTCAGGCCTTCTCTCCCATGCTTCCCGCAGTCGGGGCTCAGGTGGCCGTAGCCATGCCTGGCCCCTCTGACCCTCAGTCAGAGTCTCCCGCCCTGCTCAGGCTTCTCCGAGCATCGCCCACACAGGGCTGGGGTCAACACACCCCTAACACAGCACCACCCCAGCGCTAAACAGCTGTGCCTTCCCTGGCACCGCTCGCTGTGCCCTTACAGGGCACCAGGAACACCCTCCACTACTGGGGAGTTCCCCTGAGGCCTCCTTCAACCCTACAGCCTCTCCTCGTCCTCCAGCATAACAATAACAAATCAGGGAACACAAAGCCATGAGTCAACCGGCTATAACTCAATATAAACCCCCTGGCTAGAACATAAATGCCGGGCTACCATGGCTCACCTTCCAAACCTCCCTGTCAGGGTTCTCTCTCCCCATACCTTGCTGCAGGCAGTCAGGCTGCTCTGCTCTGCAGCAGAGCTGCTGCTCCTTAGGCTACCAGAGGAGAACTGACTACCTAGGCTTCAGCCTGGGCTGTTTATAAAGGCCCGGCCCTGCCCCCTTCTGGTCACCTGACCAGTGCAGTTGTCCCAGCAACCAGCACCTGTGCTGCCCTGAAGATTGGCAGCTGCCCTTATCCCTTCATAGGAACAGGGCACCTGAGTGCCCCTGTGACAATCACTGTTCATTGTGGAAACAAGATTCACAAGATACACCCAGAGATTTCAAATAGGAATCCATAGTGTTATTCTGATCTGTTGTGGTCTTTCTGAGTTCTTTGCAATAAAGGAATTGCTCTATTATTTTTTCTGTAATAAAAAAAACAAGTAAAAACTAACAGCTGGCATTTCTGAGGGGTGCCTTGGGGCCTAAGCTGGGGTGTCTCAAGTCTAAAAAGGTTGAGAATCACTGGTTTATAGGTATGTATATAATGGCTAACTGAGCATTTGGCTAAAATGTAGAGCCCTCTGGGTATGTCCTTTCAGGAAGAGAAATTGATGATGGAATCAGTTATTTCTTTGATGCAAATCTGGATTGTTTACAAAGAACATACAAAGTCCTATTTCTGTGAAGACAAGTGGAATCAAGCAGAAGAATGTAGTTTTATTTGCTCACAGTTCCAAGTCTCCTTCAATCAGTCTTTAAGCCCAAAGCTTTTCTCTTAGCTTTTTCTCAAGGTCATTACTAATGTTTCTGTCTCCATGTCTTGTGCTTCCTTGCAGCCCTCTCTGTCTTTTTCTCTGGCCCTTCTCCTGCTTCTCTCTGCTACCAGTAAATCCGTCCTGAATACCTCATTCAAATTCCTGAGCAGCCTCATATGTGCCTTGCTTTGGGTGCTGGCTTGTAACTGTGTTTTCATTGGTGTCCCCTATTTTTTCAAATGTTTGGTCCCGTAAAGGAATTTTGTGACTTCTTACATCTATTTTTGCATGTTTTTCTACATGAAATGTAGCAGTAAATCAGAATTTTGTAATTCACTGGTATACTGGCATGACAGACCTGTTCCCAGTTGTATTGTGTTATACAATTATTGTTTAACATCTTTATATGATATGGGGCAATTCCATTATGCCAGCACACCAATGAGTTATGAAAAGTCTGAGAATAGGAAAGGAGATTCCCTTCTTCTGGTGGCTTAAAAATAAAAAGTAATGAAATAAAAAAAAAAATTACTTTTCTATTATAAAATGAAAACCCTCCTATAGCTGAATGAATAAAGTATTTGATACCCCATTAATGAAACTCCACTGCTTTGGTGTATTCTTCCCATAGAAAGCAGCCTCTCAGAGGAAAACAGCAAATTTAGCCCTCCAAGCACTCATTAAAGAGACTGCACAGGTTCATCTGCTGTCAGAACCAACCAGATTGATCTTTCACCAGCCACAAATGCTAGGAAGAGGTAAAAGCCAGTGCTCAGCAGGCAAGATAAAAAGGATTTGCTGTTTTTAATGGCTTTTTCTGGGTGAATCTGGGTCAGAAGAGGAAGGATTACCTATTACCTTAATCCAGAAAACCTAGTATGGACAAGGGTCTACTTTTGACTGTCTTTTTTTTTTTTTTTTTTTTTTTTTTTTTTTTTTTTTTTTTTTTTTTTTTTTTACTGAACCAGTGAAGGATGGTTGTTTTACGCTTTGGAATTCAAAGCCCAAGGAATTACTTAGAGTAGTAAATCAATGTACTGTTAGACAATGAAAGCAATCATCTCTCATGAGATGCTTCATTGGCTCAGGTGATGTTGTGACACTCTCATAATACAAGTTTGAGAAATATTTGGCTTTCTCATTATGCACTGATTTGCTCTGAAAAATTATGGTTGCATTTTCGCATTTGACCTCTAAATCAGCAAGTTTGAAAATTGATTTTCTCAGGAGGAAATGCCTTGCTGGACTTGGTCCTTGCCACAGGCGATGACCTGGTGAGGGATCTGTGGGTGCTCGACTACCTAGGTGTTAGTGACCATCGTCTGGTGGAATTTTCTATCCGGTGGTGAAAACAAGTAGTAAGGCAAAAGTCCTTGACTTCAGGAGGGCTGACTTCAATGAGCTTAGTAAAGGGGATTAGTAAGAGAAAACTGGGGACTCGGAGACTCAATGAGATGGGTGTCCAGGATGGGTGGTTGTTCCTTAAGGGGATGATCCTCCAAGCTCAGAGGGAGTCAGTCCCAATGCGAACCAAACGAGGCAAGAGTGCTAAAAAGTCCCTTTGGCTCACTAAAGGCATCCAGGAGGGCCTAAGGGCCAAAAAATGGCATACAATCAGTGGAAGCAAGGGGCTATCACCAAGGATTACACCTCCATTGCTTGTGATTGCAGGGAGGTGGTTAGGAAGGCCAAGGCAGAGACGAAGACCAGAACTAGGGCTGGCGACCAGAATTAAGGATAACAAAAAGTCCTTTTTCAAATACATAGGGAGTAAGAAGAAGGCCCTAGGTAATGTGGGACCCCTACAGGACAGGCCTGGCAATCTGGTGATTGCAACAAAGGAAAAAGCTGATCTCTTCAATGAGTTCTTTGCCTCTGTATTTCTGAGCAGGGACCAGGACAATTTCCCCCACTAGGATTATGGACAGGCTCAGGGGACATGATGCCATGCCTAGGGTCAGGGATGATCTAGTTAGGAACTTCTGGAGAGGCTGGACGTGTATAAATCAGCAGGTCCAGATGCTCTTCATCCAAGGGTACTGAGGGAATTGGTGGAGGTCATAGCAGGGCCCCTGGCATGGCTGTATGAGCACTCATGGTGCTC